CTTTTACATGAAACTAAATTATAGAGTATAAAAGCTGGAACCTATGTAAAGCAATGGAAACCTGCCCAGGGAAAGAATGTGCAAATATTTTCTGCTAACAGACCAGTAGAAAATTGGTAAAACTGTAGCCTGTCAAAGGCAGAAAAACTCACAAGACTCAGGAAACTAAGTCAGTCTCACCAAGTTCCAGTTCTAACAGATTTCACTGTCTATAAGTCTTACTTATTAAATGCTAAAGGACCAGTTAGTGGCATGTGTGTAATTGTGAAACTGGGTTACGCAAGAGACAGTGTGCCATGGTCTTTGAATTCATGGTCTTCTGATTCTGGGTCTCTGACCCAGTATCTCCAAGAATCATATTTAAATACGATAAAAACTCACTGCCATTGACTTGATTTCCTACTTAAAGGAACAGAGTAAGATTCGTCCAGAGTTTGCAAGGCTGTAAACCTGTATAGGTACAGACCACATCATCTTTCTTCTACAGAGTGGTTGGTAGGTTCAAACCATTTGGTCTTTTGGTCAGAAGCTGAATCCTTTTAACCACTACTCCTCCAGGGCTCCTTTTCGCAAAATACAAAGCCTTGTGTTTATATCACTTTATAAGTTACTATTGACTTTTATGTCCTCTATCTTTTGATTCCCACAATAGAGCTTTGAAGCAGCCATTCCCAGCTTCACATTACAGAAGACAGCATTGGTGCTTAAAGAGGTTAGGTGATGTATCTGGAGACACATATTTAGCAAACTGGCTTAAATTCGGGCTTTGTTATTCAAATGTACCTTGTATTGTTACCAGACCATTTAAGCTCCTGCTTAGTCAGTTTGATTTGTCACTAAAGCCTGGTAGCTACCTTAAAACTTCAGTGTTATTCATACATACGTTTTTACTTAGTTTGTAAAAGGTAGATTTTGCTGGCTCATAAATTTGGGAATACCTTATGTCTGGGTTCTCTTCTTGAGGTTATAGTTCCATTGATTTGGAATTGTATATAAATAAATACAGAAAATGTTCAGAGTAACATCTTCACAGCTTCTTATTTTCTTCTTGGAAGGGTTTCTTCTTGAAGGGTTCCAGCCTTCAAAGGCCAAACCTTTCATGATTGCCTCTATATGCCATTAACTCAGCAAAGCAATGCAGTTTCTAAAACGATGTTTTCCCTTACGTGATTTCCAGTAGACCTTTGGAAGCACATCAGACCCCATTTATCCTTGTATGTTAGTAGCCATAGCCTGCAAAGACCAGTAGTCTCTTAAACAGCTCCTCTGGTGAGCTTTATTATCCCGTGGGTAATGTGAAGCTTAACCTCAAGAAAACAAAGATTCTCACCACTGGGCTGATTGGCAGCATCATGATAGATGATGAAGAGATTGGGATTGTTGACAGCTTCAGTTTGCTTGGCTCTACAATCAACACTCTTGGAACTAGCAGCCAGGAAATTAAAAGACAAATTGCATTGGGAAAGTCTGCTGTCAGAGACCTCTCCAAAGTACTGAAGAGTAACGATGTCAGTCTGGAGACTAAGGTGTGCTTGATACAGGCCATGTCTTTGAAATTACTTGCTATTCATCAGAGAGCTGGACAGTGACTAGGGATAATAGAAGGAGAGTTGATGCCTTTGAGCTTTGGTGCTGGAGAAGATTATTGGATATGCTATGGACTGCTAGGAGAACAAACAAGTTTGTCATAGAGAAGGTGAAGCAAGGCTGCTTCTTTGAGGCAAGGATTCTGGAGCTCCGTCTGACATACTTTGGATATGTTGCAAAGCGGGATTAGTCCTTGGAGATGGACGTCATTCTTGGGAGGGTGGAGTGACAGTGCAGGAAAAGAAGACCCTCAATGAGGTGGTTTAATTCAGTTACTGGGGTAATGGGGGTAGGTGTGTTGGAAATAGTAGTATTGGCACTGGACAGAGCAGGGTTTAGAGCTGTTGTACAAAGGGTTGCTATGAGTCACAGATGGCTCGATGGCACATAACGACAATGTTGAAGGAATATAAGGACACCCGTGATTGGGAATCTGTGGGGTTGGTTTACTCGTTTGTTATGAGAAATAGAAAAGAATGTATGTCAAATTGTGGTAAGTGATCCTGGGCATTTCTGGTTGAACCGCCAAGTTAATTTGCCTTCTAAGCTCCCAGTTCTTTGTTAGTAGCAGGAGAAAGTGAAGGAATGTGGATTGCTTGTGGCTAACCAAGACCAGTTAATCTGGTTCAATTCACACTATGACTCTTGAGAAAAGGCATTGCTTTTGGATTCCCTGTGGCCCCAGGAAGATTCCATTTTTATAACCCAGACTGAATCCAATGATTGGAGGAAAGCAGGAACTGAACCTGGGGTTGTCCTTGGCTCACTAATGTCCTTGGCTCACTTAATACTCTCTAAACAGATGCAGACAAAGCTACGTAACAAAAGATTAATTCGAGGGGAGCTCTGGTGGCCTAGTGGCAAGAAGCTGTGCTGCAACCCTGAAGGCACACAGTTCTCTGCTGGAAAAAGAGGGGAAATCTCTTGTGCCAGTTGGATTGGGCTGCCTACACTGTGCAAGGCACTTCTTGCTGTGTGTCATTAAATAGGAACGGACACATAGCTGGCCCTCCAGCCGGTTTTCAGAGGCAGTAAAACACACTGGAGGAGATTGCCCATCTTTCTCCTGAGGAGCAGCTGGTGAATTCGAACCAGATGCCTTTGAGATAGCAGCTCAACTCCTTTACCACTAGGCCACCAGCACTCCCTGTGCAAGACGGACATTGGTTTTATATTACTTGATTGTCTCTGTGCTACTGTAACTTTGAGAAATTAATCCATAGAGGCCATCAGTTTCTCAGATTTCAACAAAACTTTGTTCTTAGAGAAAGGGGGTAAAGGAAATGGGAAAGATCTGGCAGGGACCTGAAAAGAAAGGATGAAATGATGGGCATAGTCCAATGATGATTAATTTTATAAAGCATAATGAATGGAAATGATTGTATGAAACATAGTGTGAAACACAGTGTATATGAACTTTGTAAGCAAACCGATATAAAATAAAAATTTTTTAAAAACCTAAAAAGAAGAATTGAAGAGCATTATGCTGAGTAAAGTAACTCAGTCCCATAAGGACCACTGTGGCATAAGACCATTATTGTAGAAGGAATGAGGATCCAAGGGAGGGAGGGGAGGAGCAGAGGGTGAGGATGGGTGGGGTTGAGATGGGAGATGTTAAGCGGAGGGTTGCACAATTTGATGGGTGGAGGGAAGAGTGGGCAGAGGAAATGGGAAAGATCTGGTGTGAAAAACAATGTATATGAACTTTGTAAGTAAGCCAGTATAAAATAAAAATTTTATTTAAATAAAAAACAAGCCAAAAAAACTTGTTCATAAACATCATACAGTATATATTCTACACACTTTTGTTCAAATTGAATTCTCCAGAGTCCAAGAAATTATGTTTATTTTTGTTTGCTGATGGCATTTTAATTTTTTTAAAAAAAATTTGGACCTGTAAGGACAGAAATCTAAATCTTTTCCATTTTTTAATGAGCCACTCCAATCTTAATCATTTCAGGGGCAATTTTCTTTCCCCCACTTGGAGCTTAAAGTCAAGGATAGTGCAGCTTTATCTCACATACTTTGAGCGTGTATCAGGAACGGCCAGTCCTTGGAAAAAAGACATGCTGGGAAAGGTGGAGGGTCAAAGATAGAGACGAAGACCCTCAGTGAGTTGCATTAACAAGCACAATGACTGTAATAAGAAGCTGACACATGCCAGAGATCATGATCGTGTAGGATAGGGCAAGGTGGAGATCTTTTGTTCATAGGGTTGCTGTGAATCACATTTAACTGGATGTCACCTAACACCGCATTGGAGCACAATCTACTAGGAGTTTCCAGGATTTTCTGGAAACAACTAAGTGTCAGGGTTCTAACTTGCAGCTCCAGCCACAAGTGCCAAGTGGTCTGAAAATATATCAAAGGCTGAGCCATCCACTTCATAGTGTGGTTGGGATCGGCCTACAGAAATAAAGCACAAAGGATGACATAGACAGTACTTTGAGTTTAGAATTCATTTGCAAAGAACTCGTAGTCTGAGTTTATTAAAGGAAGCACCTCCTTGATGCATGCCTCTGGGGCTGTGAATCTTTTTGTTCAAGGATAGCTTGAACGGCATTCTCAAGGACAATAATGGTGTCCCACCCTCTGGTCACTGGATTGGTAGAGAAAACTAGAAAAAGCCCAAGGCATGGAACAACTGATGAGGGAGGTTTAGAGCTAAAGCTGGATGCCAAGTATCCTGCCTGGTTCCATGTCTAACGTCGGCCCAATGTCCAAATCCTAAATGTTCTCATTTGGGAGCATCACTCACTGAGTTCCTCTTGCTTTCATTTCAGACCCGGATGCAGAGCCTACAACCTGACCCAGCTGCTCGCTATCGCAACGTGCTGGAGGGCCTCTGGAGGATAATAAGAACAGAGGGTCTTTGGAGGCCCATGCGGGGGCTGAATGTGACCGCGACGGGCGCAGGGCCTGCCCACGCCCTCTATTTCGCCTGCTACGAAAAGTTAAAAAAGACATTGAGTGATATAATCCACCCTGGGGGCAATAGCCATATTGCCAATGGTATTGATATTGAGCCTTCCTGCACTGGTTTCCCCACCCCCCCCAACTCTCTGGGCTTTTGCTGCTCTTAGTGCTTTACATGGTTTGGATCAGAAGTTTGGGGCTGGGTAGGCCAGATGTTAGGGCAGGAACCCCTAAGCCTGATGTTCCCAGGCTATGGGCTACTTCACCCCTCTCTGGGAGCACCTCCACAAAGGGGTACAGTACCCTCCCCTACCTACCAGCTCATCTCTGCTCTCATCTCCCTGGCGTCACCTTCTCATGCTGTGGTAATGTCAAGACAGGCTCAACTATCTTCACTATATTCCCTGATACCTGGGCGGTGTTCTGCACCTCAGGGCAAGAGCTGAGCTAACTCAGCCACCCCAGGAAGACCGTCACAGGCGCCCGCTCTTCACCTCACTTTTTGAGGATCCCAAACAAACCCAAGGCAGTCTGTCACTGAGGACATGAGAAGGCCTCAACAAGTGAATGGGGGTGGGGACAAGAGACCTGTACAGGGAGTTCAAGGTTGTGTGAAAGGGGAAGGAGGGGATAAACAGCCCAGGGCTTTCAGGACTACCTGGAAATAAAACTGAATATGGAGAAAGTGAGGGATAGAGTAGATCAGAAACCAAAGGAAAGGTCTAGCTGGACAACATGGAGGTGGGTCAGGCAGTATAGGGCCAGAAGGTGGCAGGTCTTTGGTGGAGGTGCAGCTGCCTGACCACACTCTCCCTCCTGAACGTTAGCATGCCAGGGGTCGTTCATGGCTCTGTCTGCTTTTCTAGGGCATGAACTGCATTTGTTCTGAGCACCATTTTTTAATCGCTAAATCCTGCCCTATGTTCTTTACGTCTTGCAGGCCTTCCTATCATAGATAGGGAATGTACATTGGTGGCTTTACTAAGTTGGTGGGAACAAGTACCTTCGTTTCCTGGAACAGGAGTTTAGGACCAGTGGGTTTCCATGTTTTGGACTGGCTCTTGACATGCCTTCTCCGGGACCTCGGTGAATCTGTCACCTCTCCTGGCCTCACATGTGGCAGTTCTTTTCTCATTTGCAGGTGCAGCTGGGTGTGTGGCAACATTACTTCACGATGCAGCCATGAATCCAGCAGAAGGTAATGATTCTTCAACCTTCCCCCTACAGAGAGCTGCATGTCTCTGGTCTTCTGGTTTGCAGGAGAAAGCCAGGGAGACTCCATTTCACTTTGAGAGAGAGAGCCCGCCCTTGTTACTTTTACCACTAGAGGGCGATCCCTCCATGTAGTCCTTAGGAAGCCTCCCTTGGCTAGGAGGCATGTTCATTGGGTTTAATTAATCTTTGGGGCTTCCCTGGGAAAAAGATGACTCTCCTTGACCTGTTCCAGGGCCTTCTCGGAAGTCCTCTTTAGAGTCTTTTTTATCTTTCTTGAAAGTACAGGAGTTTTTTTTGTTTGTTTTTAAAGAAGTGAAGATGGATTTTTTTATTTATTTTAAGATTCATTTTTGAGGTTTTAGAAATTCTGTTTTTAATTGGATGGAAGAGAGTTAAGATAGGAATAAAAGGGAAAATAAATGTTCGAGTTCTGTCCCTTTCGGCCTGGATCTTGGCTTTCAGTGGGAGAAGTATAGAGGATAATGTACTCAAACAAATCCACAGACAGGCGCACAGCATGGTAGCCGTGTTCCCTATGTTCTGCTTCCTCACCTACTTGGGCAAGGCCTGAGGTGGAAGGGCCAGAGCTGGGCTAGACCATGCTACAACTGTGAGAGTGGGAGATACATGGGATCTCAGGCCAGATTCTTTCTGATTAGAAATTCTGGTTTGGGTTTTTTGTTGGATTGTTTTTTGGCTTTGGGTTGTTTTTTGGGTTTTTTTGGTACCACTTCCTCTTTCCTCTGGAAAGGATGTTGTTGTTTACTGTCGAGTCATAACTGACTCATCACTGACCCTCCAGTGCTTGCTTCAGCAGCACATACACTAATAACAGACTCTCCAGCAGGTTTCTAGACGCAGTAGATCACATGGGAGGAGATTGCTCGGCTTTCTCCCATGGACAGGAGGTGGAGTCAAATCCCATGCTTTAGGATTGGCAGTGCAGTTATTTGCTACTAGACCACAAGGTCTCCCTTCTGGGAAGATGATGTTGTTTGCTGTCAAGTCAGAACTGACTCATAGCTGACCGTCCAGCGAGTTTTCAGAGGCAGGAAATTGCATGGGAGTTGATTTCTCATCGTCCCACAGAACAGCTGGTTGATTTGAACTGTGTACCTTTGGGTTTGCAGTGCAGCTTCTTACCACTAGGGCCACCAGAACTCCCTGGATGGAGAGCTATCCTTTTATCTTAAGAGTTAATAAGCTTAGTACCCAGAGATAGGCTTGTTAGGGTTGGATGTTCATTCATTGACATTTTGCATGTCATGGAAACACCTTGTCTCAGCAGATAGAAAGGAGTCAAATTATAATAGGTACTTGTTTCAAGGGACACTCAGGAATTTATACTGTAGATTTTTTTCTGTGTATTAATTGGCTACTCACTCATCTTTCTTTTCTCTCTCTCCATTCCATTGGCTTCTCTGCTGATTCGGGATTCTGGATTTGGACACTCCCTCTGATTGGTCGCCATGGCTGTTTCTTTCCTCCTCACTGATGACATCTACAGTGGTGAAGCAGAGAATGCAGATGTACAATTCGCCATACCACCGGGTGACAGACTGTGTACGGGCAGTGTGGCAGAACGAAGGGGCTGGAGCCTTTTACCGCAGCTACACCACCCAGCTGACCATGAACGTTCCCTTTCAAGCCATTCACTTCATGACCTATGAATTCCTGCAGGAGCACTTGAACCCCCAGAGACGGTACAACCCCAGCTCCCACGTCCTCTCCGGCGCCTGTGCGGGAGCCGTAGCTGCCGCTGCCACAACCCCACTGGACGTTTGCAAGACACTGCTCAACACCCAGGAATCCCTGGCTTTGAACTCAAACATTACGGGACACATCACAGGCATGGCTAGTGCCTTCAGGACGGTGTATCAAGTAGGTGGAGTGACAGCCTACTTCCGAGGAGTGCAAGCCAGAGTCATTTATCAGATCCCCTCCACGGCCATAGCATGGTCTGTGTATGAGTTCTTCAAATATCTAATCACCAAGCGGCAGGAAGAGTGGAGGGCAGGCAAGTGAAGGAGCACTGACGGAAGCCAGGGGTTCAGCCAGCATTGCTGTGCCGTCGGCACCAGCGCACTCTCCATCTCTTGGCATGCGCCTGCCTTGAGTGGAGCTGGAAGAAAGGTAGAGGGCGCTCCCCAGGCTGTTGGTGTTTTGGCTCGCACCAGTCCCTGCCAACCTCCATTGCTGCCACCTTCCAGGCTCTTAGCACGTGCAGCAGAGCACACTGCAGCCCCTTGGCAGCCTCTCCATCCCAGGCCTGATGACCTGCTCTGACTGTTGTAGAGGGATAGGCAGCTCACGTTCCCCTGGTTCCCAATAAAAAGCCTTTAAATTACATGGTTTCACTGGGTTTGTCTTGCCCAAGGGGAAGTGGAGTGCTGTCAGGTGTCCTTGATTCTGCTTTAAGGGACCCAAAAGGGGTCACCTGATTGATGCTGTGTAGTTGGGTTTCTGCTGATTTTGATAGTGATTTGAGGCTTTGAGAGGGATGTTTCATCCCCTTGTTTTAATGGTTGGCTCCAGGGAATCTCCCTGATAATGGAACAGTGGGCCTTTGACAGATCCTAGCTAAGCAGGTGCCCCAAATCCCACTACTGCCTCTTCCCTCCGGGAGTTATGCAACCAGACTGCCAACCAGAGGAGGTCTGGAGAGCACTTTCTCTCTGCTCTTAATTCTCACCTCCGCCCACAGCACTCACAGTTTCCACATACTTGGTTTTCTAATGTGATTGCAAAATAATTATTCTGTGAAGCTGCAGCTGCAAGTCCTGAAGAATATGTGGTCAATAAGAAGAATGCCCTTGATTTGACTTTGTACAAAGTCATGAATGTGGTCTTAGGTTCTCACAAAATCTGTGATGCAATTTTACAAGCAAGGGAGTTCAGAGAGACTACGAGTGCCTAAGATCTCAGAGTACACAATAGAACTGGGGCCCCAACCCAGAACTTTGGTGTGTGTGTATGGGGAGGGGGTAATCAACTTTTTACTTTTTAAACTTTCTTCATATATGGCATTCATTAGGCTTATCGTGATGTTGATGACCATCTTTCTAGAAGAGTTTCTCTTACCTCTGAGACATTCTGTGTCCCTCAGCAGTAAGTCTCTTTTCACCTGCCTCTCACCCACCCTTGGTTATCACTTGGCCTCAACGAGGCCTTTTGACCCTAGAAGTGACTCTTAGTTGTGCTTTCCTGAAGGCAGTAAATGAGTGAAGGGCATGTATTGAGGATGCCCTCTTCCCAGTGGCCACCTGGGCTCTCCTTGGAGATTAGAAAAGTAACTGCGCTTTGTGGATCAGTCTGTTCCTGCCCCCTCCACCCACGACTATCACTGGTTACTAGAAAATTTTTTTTTCAATTAATTTTAATGAACGTTTACAGAGATTTTGGATTTCTGTACATTCATTGTTGCATTTTTCTCCCTGCCCACCCCTCTCCCCAGTTCACTCTTCTCTTCGAAAAGTAAAAGAAAAATTAATTCAATGGTATACAATCCCCCCCATCCCACCCAGAGTATACTCCACTATGCAACCTTCATTCTGGACTCTTGTCATAACCATAATACCCAATCATGTATTGCTTTCAAACAGTTTTCTCCCTCATCTGTTTCAAGGCAGTATACATAATTTATCATTTTTTTCAGTCTCACTCCAACCCTGATGTCAGTCCTGTTCTACAATAGTGGCACCATGCAGCACCTGTCCTTTTGTGACTGAGATACTTCACTCAGCATAATGTCCTCCAAAGTCACCCATTTTGAATAATATTACATTAGTTCCTTGTTTTTCAGTGCAGCATAGTATTCCACTATGTGAATATACCACAGCTTCTCTATCCATTTGTTTGTTGATAGGCACTTAGGTTGTTCCAACTCTCTGCTTTTGTGAACAAAGCCATGATAAACATGGGTGTACATATATCTGCGTGGGTAGCAGTTATGGTTTCTTTAGGGTATATTCCCAGTACTGGAATTGCTGGGTCAAATGTATTTCTATTTGCAACTTTTTTAGAAAGTGCCATACTGCCTTCCATAGCGGTTGTACCATTTTACACTCCCACCAACAGTGAATAAGTGTTCCAGTGTCTCCGCAACCTTGCCAGCATTTATTGTTTGCTGCTCTGTTAAATTTTGACTGACTGGGGTGAGATGATATCTCATAGTTGTTTTGGTTTGCATCTCTCTTAGAGTTAGGGATTTTGAACATTTCTTCATGTATTTGTTGGCCGTTTGAATGTCTTCTTTGGTGAGTGTCTGTTCATATCCTGTACCCAAAAATTCTTCAGTATGTAGAATGAGATCTAGCCTGCTAAACTTCCATCTAGTCTTGTGATGACTTCTGTCATTCATCTATTCAGTAATGATTGTTTCTATTGTGAATCACTGGTATCGGGGGTCAAGTGATAAAACAACCTCAGTCCTCAAGTGGGTTACTATCTGAAGTGAAAGATACATAAAAAGACAGCTACGTGATAAAATTACATAGAAGAGATAGAATAAGCTTTGGATATTTTTGGAGGATTTAAGCATGCTCAGCCTAGCTGTGGGTCATTGGGTAAGCTTTTGGAAGAAATGATGTAACTCCTAAAAGGCAAATACAATGGTAGGTAAGTGTAGTTGTTGTTTTGTGTCATCAGGTCAATTACGACTCACAGTGACCCTGTGAACAATAGATTTGAACCGCTGCCTCGCTGTCCTGCCCCATCTGCACTTTCTCTGACATCTTCCGTTGTTAGAATCACTGTATTGATCCATCTCGTGGTGGGTCTTCCTTTCTTTCTCTCACCCTCTACCTTTCCCAGCATGATTTCTTTCTCCAAAGAAGGGCCCCTCCTGACAATATGCTCAAAGTATGTGAGACAAAGTTTCACCATCCTTGCCTCTTAAGTTGTAGCCTGGTTTCACCTACTCCAAGACAGATCTGTTTGTTCTCTTGGCGGTCCATGGGATATTCAGTACTTTTCTCAAGCATTATAGTTCAAAGGCATCAATTCTGTTATTGTCTTTCAGATGCATAGGAAGCATTTAAAAAATCCCATGGCTTGAATCAGGTGCATGCCGGTCTTTAGAAGGACATTCTTGCTCTTTAAGCACTTTGGAGAGGTTCCTGACAACAGATTTCCCCAATTCAACACATTTTTATTTCTTGACAGCTGCTACCATCAATGTTTATTATGAATGCAAGTAAAATGAAATCCTTGACAACTTCTTTTTTTTCCTTCGTCTGTCATGCTATTTATTGCCTCTTAGACCAATAATGAGGATTTTTGTTTTCTTGACATTGAACCCGGTGTAGAGGACAAAGGGCTAGAGGTAAGAGAATATGGAGTATTTGGGGTTCAGTATGCAAATGGTTCTAAAGGAGTAAACAGCATGAACAAGACATGCATCTGGAGAACTAAGCAGGGGCTGAGTTTTAAAAGCATTTAGAGTTTATCCTGAAGGCAGTGCAGCAGCATTATTGGGTTTTAAACAGAGGTGTGGTGTGATGAGATTTACAATTTAAACACAGCACTCGGGCTCTCTGAGGAAAGGATGAGAGGAGCAAGACTGGGCAGGCAGGCAGACCAGTAGGAGGTTGTTAACGATAATCCAGGCATGACTGCACGGTGGTCTGAACTGAGAGAGGGAAGGGAGGTGGCAAGAATTGCTGACGGGAGTGATGTTAGAGTTGGAGAAGCAGCAGGATTTGATTAGAGGATAAATCTTACCCTATTTATATCTGACAGCCCTTCAGATATATATGGAGAGTTACATCTGAATATACTTGGAAAAAGACGAACTACAACTGTCAAGAAAGCCTGTTCTCCTGTTCTAAATCTTACTATTTCAGCTATGTTGTTCTTCTGATTTGGTGATAGAAAAGAGTTGATACAGTGCGACCAGTGGTTGCTGGACTTTGAATGACCTAAGGAACAAAGAGAATTGATGGTGGTTATCACAGAGGTAATTTCAGAATTTGCTAGAAAAATGTAAGAGTCCCAGCAAGAGCTAAAGAAAAGAACTTGTTTACCAGATCTGAGTCTCTTCACTCTGTTGGTTTACCAGAGCTGACTTGCTCACCAGATCTGATCCCTTCAAATAATTTCACAAAGCTGCTGACTGAGAGGGTAAGGCACCTGCTTTTTAAAAAGAATAGGATGGCTGGCAGTTTCCAAAACAATAATAGTTGCTAAAGACCCTTCAGCTTGAGTGCTGCCTACAAATAATGAGAAATGAATACAGAAGTGACCTTTCAACCTTTAGTTGTGCTGTAGCCACATACAAGAGGACAGTTAGTTTGGAATGTAGACCAGGCATCAGATTTGGTTTCCATCTTGCCCCAATCATGAGAGGAGATAGGTTAGACAAATGCCATCAGGTTGTACATCTAAAACATCGGTGACTGGTCACCTGAGTAGAACCCGTACCCCACAGGCCTCAGCAGGTGCAGAAGAGCTGTGGGAATTGGAGACGTCCCCAGGTCCAGGACCTCTCAGGAAAACCATGTTATGTGGCACATTGAATAAGATCTAGCATCTAGTCTCTAGAAAATGACTGATGTCTACACAGTGTCATATGATGGTGAAAAGAAATATTTACCAGAGAAAATTTTAGATTGTCTTTCAAGAAAGACAATCTTTCTTTCAATTGTCTTTCAAGAAAATGTCTTGAAAGACAAGACCAACATGATTTTTTTTTTAATAATTCAAAGGCTATACGTAAAACAATGAGCTGGATTATACAGAACCAGCAATGAAACAAAATGAGATAAATATAAGTCAGAGTTAAAAGAGAAAACAGTGTCTTTGATAATCAATAAAATAAATAAAAATGTTTTTGTAAAACCAATAAAAATTCAATAATTCAGTCTGTATACTCTTCCAAAAGCCTAGATAAAAAGAAAATACTTTCAGTCTCATTACCTAGGGAATAAGATGATCAACGTATGTATGACAGCATTTTTTTAAAAGGAAATCTTTTTTGTTAACTCTCAAATGTTATTGTTGCTGTGTACTTAAGAAGTCAGAACCAACTCATTGTTGACGTTCCACCGGGTTTTCAGAGGCAGTTAATGGCATGGAGGAGATTGTCCATCTTTCTCCAGGGGAGCAACTGGTGGATTTGAACCTGTACATGCATTGGGATTGCAGCGCAGCTCCTTACCACTAGGCTACCACTCTTGGGAACTAGCTTTAATCACGTGGTATCCATCCTTTCACGTCATTACATTTCCTTTCTATGTAACATTCTACGTACAACCATGTATTTAATCAGCCAATCCCCTGTGTTTTGTAATAATTTATCAAAAACACTGTACCATAAATATAAAGGGGGGGGGGAATAAAACAATGACACGGCTG